ACAAACAAACAAACAATGAAGTACATTTTAGGAAAATGTATCACATCACGTTCTGTTTGCAATAACAAACGTTTCAGTGACCATTGTAAATATATAGAACTGTGACCATGGGCGCATAACAGTCTGAATTCATAAACACTGAATTTGCTCTTGCTGAGCATATTGTTACTGCATGATGGATTTGAAAAGAATCCTTCCTGAAATGTAGAGACTTACACTTAAATAATCTAATTTTGTGTCTTTATCATACTCATTCTCATTCAATGTTTTATGCTTTTATAAATTGTTTTACGTTTGTATGTTATAAGTAGATTCATTTTGGGTAATGTGCTTGCACGCTTCTTAGCATTATGATATTGCTACACATTATACGCGGAGTTTGCAATAAACGCATATCTCAATCTCCCATAAAGTTTGCTTCATATATACAAATGTCTTCTAACTAGCTAATTAAGAACTTACTAAATCCATTTCACATCACTTACTAAATTCTGTCTTACGTTTTACTTTCTGAAGCAAGATCCGATCAGTGAAATATCTACTGTTTCTTGGAATGATTGCTTTATATCGCATCATTTCCAGATATGTGTGATCCAATTTTCTGATTGGTCAGGGAATTTACAGATGTGTGACCCAATTTTCTGATTGGTCATGGAATTTTCAGAAACAGAATTGTCACATATAAAACTTCTTTATTAGGTTAATGCGGGTACTATCATTTAGGAAATTTATGTTATATATTGAATCTATTTAATACTATAAATAACTAGATCGCACATTGTTAAAGTAGCTTTAATATTGTGAATTACTATAAATTTAATAAACTTTTATAAACTTACGTCTATTTAGTATATGTCAAGTTCTGGCTAGATCACCACAAAAAAATACCACATCCTAGGTGTATGTGACCTCTCTCGTGCATCTGACATAGTTTTGTTTGTTTTAATCTATTAGGTAACCTTGTTATAGTGGATCTACCCAACAGCCAGGTTTGAAATGGGAGGGAGCTCATGAAGATAGCCGGGAAAATTTACCGAATGACCAAAACGTGTGACTATTTATCCATTTGGACTAAAAGGTAAATAAAAGAGGCAGAAACGTTTCTTAAAACTGCAAATTTTACATTAATCCTTATTTTTCTCAGCTTATTAATAGGACTAAGACATCATTAATCTTAACAGAGTATATTAATTATATAGTTCAACACAAGCTTGAGCATTTATTACACCATACAGGTTTAAAACTATCTGTTGTCTCCGAATTTCCTGAAATTCTATGCTAACTTTTCACATTTTTCCCCTGTTAAGAATTGTTCACTTTTTTTCTTTTAGTTCAGCTTTGTTATTATTATATTTCTTTTTGGCAGAAAGTATGTTTCCAATCATACTTTCGTCATAAA